AAGTATTTTTATGATAAAGATACTTGTACTTTTACTCAAGTATCACTTTGAGGTACTTTATACAACACTGTTTAAATGTTTGTTTATGTTGAAGTATTTCAGAATGGAATGCAGCTTTTGCTCCTGTTGCAGGGCTCGTTATGACATCATCCTCCTAAGACAAACGCAGTCACTAACGCTGCTAAATATGACATTTAAAAGTTAAATTCAAAATGTGCTATAAACTATATGGATAGTACCGGTGGTCCAGCAGTTTGAAGTGCAGCCCGGACACCGGCCACAACTCAAAGTTTGATGTCTTGTTGAGAAGCATTAGCAGCGTTAGCATTTTCTTTTGTCTTAGGGTGATGACATCATAAGAGCTGTGCAAATGCTGCATTCCATTCTGAAATACTTAAGATGTAAAATTTAACATTTAAGATTTAACTTCTACATTTAGATTTAGGATTTAATATTGACATATATTTGTCCTGATGCATCTCAGTAATCCAGGTAAAAAAAATCAAAAAGAAAAAATAATAAGTAGGTCTTCTGGACGGATTCTTCTTTAGTGAAACGTTTCGTCTCTCTTCCAAGAGACTTCTTCAGTCTGATGAGTTTCAGGTGAACTCAGCCTTATATATATATAAATGAAGTCTCTTGGAGGAGAGATGAAATGTTTCACTAAAGAAGAACCCGTCCAGAAGACCTACTTATTATTTTTTCTTTTTGATTGACATATATTATTTAACATGTAGTGAAAAATTTGTAAAACACAAGAAAAGTGAGCTATATAATAAAAGTTAGTGGAAATTTTTGAACCAGGATTTTACACTGAGAAAGTGAGCTAAATATTATAATATATAACAATTTTACACTTGGCACCTCATAGACCCATATTAAAMACAGCAAAGCACAGCATGAATCTCACTGTTGGTTAGGTGGCCTCTGCTCCATGTTTCAATAAGCCTTTTATAAACAAATAACTTTGGTTTCACTGAAAATCACTGTTGTTCCTGTCAGCCTGAAAATCTTTGCAGTCTTGCAGATTTTTTTTTCTTCTTCTGGGAAGTCCTGGAGGTACATCAGCAATAAAAACTTAATATCTTTTTACAACTAAGTTGTAACGGTTTCCTGGTATCAATTAGAATTAGGCTGAGTTTTTTTCATAGCAGAAGTTCAAATCCAGATAGATGTCAAGAACTGGTTTGCAATCAGCTGATATTTTATTTCAATTTCTGAAGAACATTTTTAACACAATAACTGTCAAAATATGCTGACTGCACGAATTCTGAATTTTATTTCTGAAAAAAAAAAAACACAAGTGGCATTACATTTTATTTATAAATGCTTACATTTCTTTTTTTGTTTTCTAGTTCAGAAAGTGTTGGAGTATCACATCCTGAAACTCTACAAGCCACCAACATGAAACTAAAACAAAGCAGTCGAACGAAKCTTCTCCCAACTCTACATGTAGTTGTCAGATTGGTAAGATGGTAGGAAAACATCCAGTCTGTCCATCTGAAGTGAGTTTGCCYGGACTTTTTTAATTTATGCACTAAATCTTCATGAATGCAATGCTTTTTATGCTTTTATGCAATGTGTTAAAACTTTGTAACACGAGATGCGAAACATGCAGATTTGTTTTATTTATGAAACAATTTAAAAAAACTTCTGTGAATAAGTTTTAATAAAATATTTAAAAAAAACTGTTTTATTTAGGTCTAAGGAACAGTATGTGTGTATACAGTTCACACAGTAACTCCATACAATCTGCAGCCATCACTGATGAATCAAAGCACTATGTTTCAGTGAGGTAAAAGACGGCAGAATGCATCCAGACCAAAAGAGGCCAAGTTGGCATCAGGTTCACGAGRTGGCGGAGCCCACCACATGTTTACCAAGTGTCGCTGCAGTACCCTTTACCAGGGCTCATTTCCTCTCTCACAAGAGAATAAAAAAGAAGAAGAAAAAAGTTCATGAGGTTTTTTCCCCAAAAACATCCAAGGAATAAACAATAACTCTCCCAAAAAAGTCCGCACTGTTCTCAAACAGGATTTTTATTTTATCCACTGCCGGGGCCTTCTGTATGGGAAAGCTGTGGGTGTGGAGTTAAGAACAGAAAGTCCGGGAGGTAATGATGAAAAGCAGGAGGAGAAAATATTGTCTGATGCTTAATTTGAACCACCTAAAACATGGACAGGAAGTCCAGTGTGTTCTGGCAACTGCATGCCAACTTTCTTTAAATATCTGCTGTAGCTAAGCTACGATTTTTTWAAAAAAACAATTGCAGTTCTGTCTAATACAGTGAAATCAGGTAAAATTTGCTGCATATTAAATAACTGAGGTTTTTTTAAATATTGACACCTTTTTAAAACTCAACAAGTTTATCAGGAATCTTAAAACTGTCATATGGTTTGTTTTTAGTAGTTTTTCATGCGTTTCCTGAAAATCATAKAGAAACAAATTACGGTTGTCGATACATTAAAAACATTAACACATATCAACATCTTCTGAAATTGAAGGATATTTGCAGACAGTTGTTGTCTTCTGGGTAAAAGTGGCTGATTTCTGTGAAGTGTCCCTCCTTGAGGCAGCCTACAAGAAAGCACAAGAGTTAAAAATAACTGCCATTACAGGAAACACWGAAGTCACAGTAGCTGCTCATGTTTAAATGCAGAAAGCGAAGATTGTATGACTGATAAGTTTTTACCTTCTAATCTGCATGTTTTGGCTGAAAAGCCTCCTTGGAACAAGATTTTTATCTCCGATACCTGAACCGACTCAGGGAAGTCCAGCAACACCCACTGATTTTCACCCTGACAGAGATGAGACACACAGTGACCGGGCCTGTAGAACAGTTCACTGTTTCACTAATAAATAAACAAATATAATATAAACTGTATGTTTGTAGAAAACAAAAAGAAAAAGTTTTATGGTTGCAAATCTGATCAAACCCCACCAGGTTTTGCAGTGTTTTTATTGTAGATGATGACTGTGTCTCAATTCAGGGGCTGTATCCTTCTGTCTGTGTTTATCGGTTGCTTCTGTCACTGGAAACCAGAGTACCCAGAGAAAACCAATGCAAGCACGAGGAGAACATGCAAACTTCGCACAGAAAGACCCCAGGTCCAGATCGGGGATCGAACCCAAGACCTTCTTGCTGTGAGGCCTCAGTGCTAACCACTGACCCATTGTGCCAATTCAAACTGCAACGAGATGTTACGTAATATCCAATTACAAGTACTGATAGTGGAGCTAAACACAAACTATTCATGTTTTTTATTTACTATTTACATATAAATAGGCCTGTCTCAATAAGCCAGAAATCAATTATTCACACGATAAATTAGTAGTGATGTTACAGCTTCAGTATTGTTGTGTGTTGTTTTCACAAACATCACTCCAGGTCCATACGTAACTTTACGCAGATTCCGTAATCTTCCGTAAGTGGCATGAGGGTGATCGCAGTTATTTTATGAACCCAGAGGAAGACACAYWCAGAATAAATTGTAGATAGAGAAGTTGGGAAGTTACTTTACASATTCAGCAGATAATGTGTTACGTTTTCCCAGGTCAGGTCAAATGTTTTTTCTTTTTTTTTACGTGCGTAAATTTCAGAAACGTCCATAAGCTTTGTACGCTGGGTCATTATATTAGTTTAAAATTGTCACCAAACAATATTATTGTTTGTCGCAATAATTTCTGACACAGTTTATCTTCCAGCAAAATATGTTACCGTGACAGGCCTATGTGTAACGTTTGTGAAGTTGTTCCTCCAGTGAAAAGATGTGTGAAAAAATGTCCCAACGCATTTTAAGTCTGAAGGTAGGTGATATATAAAACACATTATGGTAATGAGGGAGGTGCGTGGTCACGAAAAATATGTCCTCCATCTCATTTCACAGCCTTTTTAAATGCAGCTTTTCTGGACTGTGGAAGGTGTGGTCTGCATGGGCCGTGTCCTAGTTAGGCTGAAGCCCCTGAATTGAGACACACTCCATGTTTCTTCACAGCAAATAGGCACTATTGGTGTTGACTTATCACAAAATAATCTTAATTTAACACTGACATATTTGTTGTGTTCAAGCGTCTCTACAGAACTGAAGCCAGCACGTTCAGAGTCTGCACACTAAACATGTGGGGCTTTTAGGTAGGGTTGGCCATAATCGTATCGTGTGCAATTAATCGTCAGAAAAACATTAATCGATTAATTTTTGGCACTTGACGATTAATAAGATTAATGCCACTAGGCAGACTAACCGCTTGGTGCTCCTCTCTGATTCAAATACGACCAACATAAAAAAAAATTGTAATTTATTTATCTATCAACACAGCCCGAAGTCTTTAATTTTGACACAATTTGGAACAGAATTTTATGAAGAGCCATTTGTCCCTATAAATTGGTCATGTCTAGGATATAAGGGTGTACAGGTACTCCAGGGGATTAATCGTCAAATTAATCGTTATCGGCTAAATACTACAATTAATCGTGATTAATTTTTTTTTGCCAATATTGCCCAACCCTACTTTAGGTCCCATCTAATCCCAGGACACTATCATGGAGTCACATGACCTCTCCTAAAGCACAAATGAACCAATTCCAGATAAACGTATCACAAGAATGGATATTTAAATATTTAGTGGCAAGACAGTGACTGTGGATCAACAAGCGTGAAACCTGAAAATATCTAATGCACATACAGGGATGTTGATGTATTGTCGTCATCGGCTGCCAATTTCTTCTCCCATCGCTGTGACCGGATCATGCAAAGCTGCACCGAGGTTGTCCTCACTAATTACTGTTTGAGAAACCCTGCAGACGTCAAATTCAACATAAATAAATCACCCAATTTTTTTGTGACCCCTTAAATAGGCAAGCTTACATTATTTTATCTGCCTTTGTCCCAAATTTTGTTATGTCAAAGTATGTTTTTTCCTGTACGGTGAAAACGATTTAGCGTGTTGACGCTGGTCTGCGTCGCTTTCMCACGCTGTCATTGGTTGAGGGGCTTTGTTTAGAAAACAAATGGCTTTTAAATGGTATTCATTTCATGGATTTCCAAGACGCATCCGGTTGATTTTATGTTGCAGTTTGGTGACCTGTGCCTTTTAAACATGACTGTATACCTTTTCTGCTACTCGCACTGGATTTTGTAATGCTTTTTTGTTTTTAGGATACAAGATGTTTCCCAGAAAAAAGCATTAAGTGAATTATTTCTGAAAATTTATTGGTGATTTCTTAACATTAAAGAAGTTATGAGCAAAAACAGAAAAATAAAAATAAGGCACAATGGTCACAAATGYCTTATTGTCCACATCTCACCAGCTCTAGCTTCAGAGGCTTCTGTTCCACTTTAAGATCCTTCTGAATGTTTTTAAAAGCCTCTGCAGCTCTGACACTTTGCCAGCTCAGCCTTTGATTCTGACAGGTTTTTTTTGTTTCTTAACTTCACTGTGTATTGGTATTCTGATCATTTATACTGTTTTCTGGGCATCTAAGTTATTGTTATTATTATTAAAAGTATTTGTCTTTCTGTATTCTCTAATTTGTTGATCTATGTACCTTATCATGTCTATGTATGTTTTATTGTACAGCACTTTGGTTGGCCTATTTTAAATGCTTTATAAATAAAAGTGGTTTGGCTGTGAATTACAGAAATCATGAGCTTCATTTCTCAAACAAAAACATCCATAATTTCTATAATACTTGAGATAATCACATGACTTCAGTGTTCTTTTAAAAATAGTTTTTAATGCTCTCTTTGAATTCACTGTCAGATTTGATAATGGTGTGCGATAAAAATTATTCACACATACATATTTTGACAGCATAATGTTCCATTCATTTTATGTGGAGGAGACAGGATTTAAAACTTGGACTGGAACAAGCTGATCAGGAAAGTGGTCCCATTAATTCTGGGTTCACATGAGGGGTTTTAATATATCCAGAGTACAGATTTGTCTTTCAGACGAACAGAAAAAGCTGTGGGGCCTTCAACCCTGAACCCTTTTAAACTGTTCTGCTTTCTTTTCCAGTGGTTTTCAAACTTTTTAGTGCCTCACCCACAAAATAACCGTTGCAGAAACTTGCAACCCCAGACGTTACTGGCTTACCTAACTGCTCAAAACTGTTAAACATGAGCATAATAACAATAAACCAAATAAAGATAATACTACTTTAATTTATTTAAGATTGTATTTGAAATTAATTACGGTAAAAATTATTCTATTACTTATTTATTTGCATTTAAATTAATATCTTGAAATCATCTGGGGACCCTCGCTTGATGTTTCATGACCCATGAAGGGGTCCCAACCCCAACTTTGAGAACACTGGTTAGTTTGTTCTCAGACTAATGGAGTAACAGTGACTGGATGTGAGCCTGAAATAAACTCAAATAAAAAATATTATTACACTGATACTTCAACATAGAAAGATACAACCTTTACCAGAAAGCCTTTAAGACAGAATTATTGGGATGTGTAAATTAAAACGTGCTGTGTTCAGATTTGTCCACATTTCATTCAAAAATCATCTGAGAAAAAGACCTACATGGACATGTTGTTTGTTTGTTTGTTTGTTTGTACCTGGTCTGAGTTCCAGCATGTTTCTTCATTCTTATCGAACATGTATTTTTTGCCATACTGCTTCACATCTCTGTTTAGCACTGAACTCACTCTGAAACGACAAATAAGACCGAGACATGATGTTAAACATGTCGTAAGCTGTAAGACAAAGACCGAGTGTCTCTCGTTCAAAAGCTACAATTAAAAACTTTAAACATCGTTTCCTGAATCACACTGTAAATTTGTTTTACCTGCTTTGTGTTTCGCTACAAATCAACGAGGTAGCCATCATATCCAAGTCGAACTACAATTTTGCCGTCGTAAAACCTTGCAGCCGCGCGGCGTTGTTTTTACGACAACACGTCATTGTATGCGTTTTTTTCATCTGGCCACTAGATGGCGGTAACATGTCGTAATTTATTTACTTACCAGGGAGCGAGGGGGTGACTTTTTCAAGGAAGTCTTCTCTCTCTGTCCTCTGTCCTCACTCCATCTATCTCCATGTCCTCTCTTCATGTCTCCTCTTTGTCTTTTTCCTGGCAGCTGCACCTCTCTAACATCCTTCTACCAATATGCCCACTATTTCTCTGGACGTGTCCAAACCAACACACCCACTGTCCCACCCCTCCCCTGGACGTGTAGACAAAAACAATAAACCCATTACGCTCCCTGTAGCCTCACTGTTTCACCTGCTTCCATCTCAACAGTAAAAGTAACAGAAAATGTAAGATGAAAAATAAAATCCATGGTACACAATAATAGTTTGCCATTGCAATAGGGAACAATTAGTGATATGTGAAAGAAAACATAAATAGATTTTAAATAAAAAAATAAAAAAATAAAATGCAAAAAAAAGTTTAATGAAAAGCAAATAAATATAGACCAGGACTCTAGACGCTGAGACACATGGTACATTTGTATGTTCTTATCTGTGTTGATACGCCTAAATAGTGATATTCTAAAATATTCATCTAATAATATTTGAGAGAATAAACAATACACCGATATTACTGAAATCTATTTTTACTTAGTTGGATTTGTATTTAACTCTGTATTAGACTGAAGGGACTGAGTTGTGCCTGAACTGTCTTGAAAAGCAACTGTATTGCATTGGATTGAATGTAATTACATATAAATGAAGCTGAATAGAATTAGAATTGAGTCCATTTATCTGTGTTGTATTTAATTATTTTGTATTGCACCATAAAATGACTTGCTGTGAGTTGACACCATATAAACAAACTAATTTATCTTACAAAAGACAGTCAGAAATGCAAGTATGTTAAAGTTACTCATTACAAACGTTATTGTGAAGCATATCAAAAAGTGCCATGTGAAATATATATTCCCATAGTTTTATTTTAATTGTGTAACTATGTGTAATTATTGTATAACTTTTGCTGCCTCTTGGCCAGGACTCCTTTGAAAACTGGTTTTAGTCTCAGTGGAACTTTCCTGGTTAAATAATGGAATCATAAAAAATAATTATATTAACCCTTTCATGCATAGAAGTCACTACAGTGTACAGCTGTTTAAAAGTGTTTTTTTTCTATATATATGCCTGCAATTTTGGGCAGTGTTGCATATAATCCACTCAAGTGGAAGCTATTACATCATCCCATACTAAAAAATCCTATTGGCTGGTCATTGCAATGGGAAAAAATAGTCAGTGAAACCAAGATGGCTGACAGATGGGGAGAACGACCAAACACCTCGGCTATTTCAGTTTCTAACTTCCATAAAAAGATGCCTTTGTAAAAAAATATGATTAAATCAAGTAACATGTAAGGTGACGTGTTATGTAAAGATTTTCCAAGTTTTGAGTTTATCTTTGTAGAAAATACAGATTAAACACATGTCCACTCAATTGTACATCATGCATCAGTGGCTACGTTTTAACTTCAATACAATATCAGTTATTACCAATGTTGTTCTTGAAAATAATTCATATCCCATACAGTTTTGGTTGTAAATCAACTTTATAGTATTATAATGTAATTTGATTTTTTAGATATAAATTTTTATACACTGTCTGGCCAAAAAACATATATTTTATACATGCTATAAGAGAGATTGCTATGAGATAATATGCTCAGTTCGGAGACTTAACAAGAATACATTTTGATAAAAAACAGTTAGAGTCAAGATTCTATGAGGATCTACAGTTCAGAGTAGGGCTGCACGATATCAGGAAAACATGCGATGTGTGATAACAGTGCTTAATATTGCGATGACGATATGACTTGCGATAAATGAACAAATACATAAGTACAGTCTGTAGTGTTGATGTTTTCTGCTCGGGGTTCTGAGCAAAAAAACAAAGAAACAAAACTAATCATTTTCATTCTAGTGTGAATTTTTAAAAATATGAAGAGTAATAAATAAATGGCTACATTTGATTGGTGAAATACTTCAAGCTTCCGTCTGAATGACAAAACTCATAAATGCTAACAGTTTACCGGTATGCATTTGTTGCAATATGCATATTGCACAAGCAGTTATTGTGATGACGATACATTTTCGATACATTGTGCAGCCCTAGTTCAGACTGTGACTTGTGTCACACTATCCTCCTCAGTTCAGAGAAAATTTGTCTTTATTTTTAACCTTGTTTTACATCCCTAAAGATGAATCAAAACACCTAGTGAAAACATAATTTTATGTTTATGTTAACTTTTACGTTTATCAGTAGAGCTCAAATAGAGAGGACTACAGAGTAGAGGAGGAACCACCATTCCAACAGAATACCATATTACAACTGTATAACTAAATTACAACTATACCTATATAATTACCAAGTTATTACATTTATGTTTTTTACAGGACAAAACACATGAAGTACACTTGAGTGTACAGATAATTATTTCTTTAAAAAAATAAAGATAGAAAAAAATTTCAAACCTTTTACATTCGTAAGGATGTATAAAAACACAGTCAAAAAAATCCTGACTGAGTTTATCGTAATTCATGCAATGAAAGGGTTAATAGGCAATTATGAAATGCACTTTTATTTGCATACTTTTCTCAAAAAAAATCTGTGCTTAAACTTCTATCAACACAACAAAATTGTAAAACGTCTCGTCTCTGTTCCCAACAGCTCTCAGGTTGACGTCACCAACGTTGACCTGTTTTCAATCACTAGCTGTTTTTGTCTGTAAACAAACACTTCATGACATTTCACTGAGAATCTTCTAGAATCTAGTGAAGTGTGCACGTTTTTGATGGCTCACAGCAGACTGAACAATCCCATAATATCAGCTCAATTTGTCTCAGGGATCATATCCTTATTTCTGTATTTCATAAGCTGGGAAATAAACCCAAAGCTGTGCATGTGTGTGTGTGTATGTGTGGGTATTCTCTACTATGTGGGGACCATTTTTGGCATACCCTACTTGTGGGTACCATCCGGTATTTGTGGGGACCTAGTCTCCATGAGCAGAACTGCCATTGGTGGGTTGGGGGTTACATTTAGGACTAAGGTGTGAACTGAGTTTAGGTTAGGGTTAGGGTCAGGTACCTGTGAGGATAGGTTTAGGATAAGAGTTAGGGTTAGGCTGTAGAAATTAATAGAAGTCAATGCAATGTCCCCATAAAAATAGCTAATAGACCATGTGTGTGTGTGTGTGTGTGTGTGTGTGTGTGTGTGTGTGTGTGTGTGTGTGTGTGTGTGTGTGTGAGGATAGGTTTAGGATAAGAGTTAGGGTTA